TGTTTAATAATGTTGCTGTTGATGCTGTATTGCCTGGTTAGGGACCCCCGAGGTGAGTTGACCTTGTAAACGGGGCTTAGGCGTTAACTTATTGAGATTTTTATCTCATTTGTGGTTGTTAAATATTTTTCAGGCCCTTAGCATGTTGGTGCACCCAGTACGGTTCGGGGTGCCTGGAAGCTGACTTTTGGTGAAGTAGATTGACCCTCTGACATCTTTCGTAGACTTTTTGGAAATGCCGAAGTGGGCTTGTAAAAATGTTCCTGTGGGGTTAATCAAGTAAATGTTAAAATGGTGTTTTGATTTCGATGTTGTAAACCGTTTTCCTATCTATCCTTGTTTACTGTTATTGTCTGGGTGAATCTTTGTTTAGCTTCCGCATGCGTAACCAAAAGATAAAATGTTGGGTCGGCGACGCGTCCTGGGACGTCGCATCATAATGACCATTGCACGATGTTGTGCGCTCGCGGGGTTCGGGGCGTGACAGCATTTCTTTCTATATCCCTACACAGTATACCCTTTGCATACCCAATTTGAGCGGTGAATTCATTTCAACCCGATTGGTGATCATTCTGGTGATAAATAAATGAAATCATCTCAAGGCAAGTTCAAGGTGACTTGAGGCAAATGGGAGCTAGAAAGAAAATTCATCAGAAAGGACGCAAAAGGACTCCATTAAATCGAAGTTCTCTCTCTCAGAAAAAACTCTCGAAAAAAAAAAGAAAAAGAGAGAGAAAGAAAGGCTTCAGCAAGAACTAAGTCAGCATACAAGATTAGTCTTCAAGGAAAAGACCGTTTGAAGGTTCATTTATGGAGCAATTGCTAGAGATAGAGCAATGGTACCAGTAGCATAATTGGATGATCACCAATCTTTATGTTCATAATACCCCCCTTTGATGAAATAAGCCATTCATTTCAAGCCTACCCAAACCTACGTTACAACCCTTACCGAAGTCTCTTCAGAATAGGGCACTTGAGTTAACATAGAGTTTCAAATGCTTATAAATGTTGCTCGAAGAAGTGCGAGCAAGATTTTTCTATCTCATTTTTGCAGCATTCCTGACTTGTAAACTCGGAGCAGCTGGTGATATCAATTTTTTCAAGGCTCGAAGAGTCCATTTTGCTAAGCCATTGACCAAACCCACGTTTTAGTCCTTATAAAGACCTCTCAGATTGGCCAAGTCATACTGATTTTGAGAATATCTGAACCCTTGTCAAGCACGATGAAGAGAGTTTGAGTGATTCTTATACCCGCATCAAAGGTCGGGTCAAAAGCCTTTCATTGAGAGTGAGTAGAAAGTCCTTTCTGATTAAAGGTCTCTCATTTAATGAGATCAAATTGTCAAAAGGACGAAATGGTTGTTCTTATTGATAAATTCCCCAGTGAAGCTTGGTAATGTAAGCAGATTCATGAATTATGTTTTCTCTACCCCTGCGCATGTGTTGTTTTAACCTTTTTTTCAGGTAAAAATAGGTGCAATGCAATTGGCTTTGCCATTTTTATAACACAAGAAGAAATCAGGTGACATATCATTTGGTGTTGCCAAGTGGAGTACGCGGCACACCCTATTTTATGTTCGCCCAGTAGGATAGGCGGCATAATATCTCATTTGGTGTTCCCAAGTGAAGTACGCGGTACACCCCATTTTATGTTCGCCCAGTAGGACAGGCAGCATAATTTCTCATTTGGTGTTGCTAAGTGGAGTATGCAGCATACCCCATTTCATGTTCATCCAATGGAAGAGGTGACATGATCTTTTTAGTGATTGCCCAGTGGTATGGGCAACACATCCCATTCTTTCTTTATATCATGCGCTATTTCGCATCTGTAGGAAACTACAGGTAACAGATAGGCAATCCAGTACCTCGAGATCCTTATTTCCAGTGGACCAGAAGTTTGGAGATCGAGAGAAGTCAAAGCATTATAAAGCTTTCCCTCACTTGGACGCTTTTTGTGCGATCCGTATGTAAGGCTCTTTCACCACTCTACACGAAGTGAGAAGCCTTAGCATACGTTCTTTATTGTTTGCATATCATGCATCATTGCATTAAAAAAAAAATCATTCATCATTTTGCATAGTTTAAATTTAGGTCTCAGTCTTTGAGCGAAACCTCTGCGAGCCTCCACTCAAAGAGGGGCAGCTGTTGACACCTAAATTTCGGCGCATCATTTAGTGGTTAATTGCATAGAAAATTAGGAATTAAATTTTAACCCATGAACAAAAATATTACAAATCGCATAGCATAAAGTTTAGGTTCATATAGATTAACTGCATTTCGCATCGGATCGGCAGTGGTAAGCGAGCTTAAAATTCATCACGTAAATCGAGCTCGGGCACCGAACGAGACTCGGCTCACTCGGAAAGCATGGGCCGAAAATCACACACAAAAGGGCTTGGTTGTCTTAATTTGAGCTTAAATTAGCCCATTATGCTTAATTAAAGAAAAGCCCAAATTAATTCAGCCCACTTAGAATTAAATTAAAGCCTAAACCTAAGCCCATTAGGACTAGAAAGCCCAGCTAATTGACCTAGGTTTACATTATAAATATATGTTTATGTCTCATAATCAAGAGAGAGGGGGCTCTCATAATTTTTCAGATCGGATTTTTAGAGAGACATACGAGAGAATTTTGAGAAGAGTGAGAGAGAGAGAGAAGGAGACCGCCCGCCGCGCCGCACTGCACGCCTGCCGCGCCACCGCCCCGCCCGCGAAGCCTCCGTCCCTCCCGCCGCGCCGCTTGCCCTCACGCCGCGCGCCGCCGTCTCCCGCCGTGTGCCACCGCGCCGCACGCTTTGCCCGCCGCTGGCCGGGCTCTCACGCCGCGCGCAGCTGCCGTCTCCCGCCGTGTGCCACTCGCGTGCGCACGCCCGCTGCGCATTTTGCCGCTCGTCGCACACCATCGCCACCTGGACGTCCCTGCTCCGCCCGCCTGTGACGCCGTTGCTCGCTGCACAGCCGCCGGAGAGCTGCCCTGCACCGTCGCTCGCGCCCTGAATCGCCTCGTACCGCCACTGCCGCCCGGAGCCGCCGCACCGCCGTTAACCCACCGCCTCGTGCTGTCGCTGCCATGCCGTGCACGCCCGCCGGGAGAGTCGCCCCGTCCTCGCCTCGCTGGCCGCCGCCCGAGACGCCGCGCGCCGCTGTCTCCGTCGTGTCACCGTCGCTAGCCACCACTCGCCTCCCGACGCCACGCCGCCGCTTCCCGACGCACCGCCGATCCGCAATCCCGATCCGCTGCTGCATTCAAATTAGGAAAGAAATCGCAAATCGTGTAATTATCATATCCCGATTTGATTCGAATATTTGGTTGCCTAATTTGTGCTTATTGATATCTAATTTTGCATATTTGGATAATAAGCATTATTTCAATTACGATTTTATTTCCTTTTTTTGAAATCTTGGATATCTATTACTTTTCAATTTTGGATAGAATTTAGAATTTTCAAAATCTTTTGAATATATCCAAGATATTTAAGATATCTAATTTTTTTCAAGATGTGATCGATTAGGAAAATTTCCTAATCCGCAACCGCACACGTGGAAATAAATCTATTTATCAGGCTTTAGATAGAGTTATTTCCATAGCGGGTATTTCGAATTTTAGGATTGATCTGTCAGGCTTCAGATCGAAACTTGATTTGAAAGATTTAGCAGTTATATTTTTTACTTGATTTTAATTTCGAATTTTGATAAAAAAAAATGCCAAAAAGATTACTCTAGAATAGGTTAATTTCTTTAGTTTAAAATTGCATGTTTAGATAATTGGCATTTTTAATTCCGAATTTCATTAAAGAAAAAATACAAAAAAAATAATATGCCCGTCATTAGAAATAGATCACGTCGTCGCATGACATATAGTTTGCATGTTAGGTTGCATTAATCACATGTCAATTTTTGCACGTCATTACATATAGGTTAGCTTTCCTTTAAATAAATATAAAAAAATTAAAAAAGAAAATTTCTGCACCTTTGAACTCTAAGTCAGGATTCATCAAAATTGTCAAATTAAGTATTTTTCTTGAAATTGGTACCGAAAGGGCGTTAGGGAATCTAGCGTAACCAAGTCCCCGAATCCATAATTTCTGGTTCGCAGAAATAAAATAGTACTCCCGCAATTTTATTTAGGTTTCTAATCAACCTACCTTAAATGATTAGTGGCGACTCCCATTGAAAATATTTGCATGCTCATAATTGGACCTAAGGTGCGAATTGGTAGAGTCTGGGAGAACTCGAGCTAGGTTAGTTAATTTAATTGATCTAATAATCCATTAGCCTAAGATCGGAAAACCCAATTTTTTTTAGGTCGCGACGGCTAAATTGTGAACTAGGCTCAACGATGATAACTAGTGAATCCGTTGATCAAATGCAAGTAATTGATAAGTGATTGGATCGCGATTCATGAAGTCAGGGTGGTAATTTTCCCTTCTATGTATCCTAACAGCTGAGCTGATTATGAAGTTTGAGGCTCCCTTTGTTTCGTGAAAAATAAATGATTTGGAAAATATTTTCCTAAAAATGATAGCATGTATAAATTATTGTCGATAATGAGAATATTTTTTGTTCACAAATTATTTCAAATGATACAAGTGATTATTTTTAGGAAAATATTTTTCAAATTATTCATTTTTCGTAAAACAAATGGAGCCTTAATTTCATTTACGAATGATCTTCAGGATGATTATATAGCTCACTGCACAGTTCATTTGATAGTACTCAAATTTCCTTCGGATAGATATATTACTAGGAAGGTTTCACAGATGACCATCGATCTCCTCTTAATTGAATGACTCCCATGAGATTTGATCGAACCATTTCTATGCGTTCTCACAGCATTATTTCACTCCCCCACTCATGGTTAAATCTTGTCATCCAGCTCTTCAAGAACCTCAAGCTTGAAGAACTATCGTCTCCATAAAACCCAGAGTGTCGGCTACAGCTGCAGACATCTACAGCATCATGTTAGGTTAATAGGATGAAGTAGCACGGATAGCGGCCTGATATCAAAGTGCTGAGGATGGCAGCACGATGGATTTCTTTAAAAAGTTACGAAGATCGACTTCCCTCCAGAGACAACAATCTCTCGTTCATCTAGTAGACTGAAATCACTCCCTTTCGGCCAATACTAGAAATTGAAAACTTTAATTCCGGTCAACTAAAAATTCACACTACGAAACACCTACCACGGGATTGAGTTCAGAGAATCTGAAAGGTTCTTGAAGCAAAAATGTGCACTCAACAACACACTACAGGTTCTCTCACAGGTTAGGTAACTCTTCTATCTCCTGTCTATAACTACAGATGACTAGATTCACAATCGTATCATCCCAGGTCCACCTCCTAGACAACGCATGGCGAATCTGGAAGCGCGCCTAGGTGCTTCCGAGCCCTTCCTTTTGACCCCCCATAATCTGGAGTATGAAAGCCATCCTCTTAGGAAGTGGGCCAACCTGAATTCTGGCATCGGGATCTCGTGGTCTTCGCGATTGTTGTACTTGAAGTAATCCCAATCATCCGCATCATCTGCACTGTTCTCTGCTGCTGCCACTTTACAATCATTCGAATATGGAGGCAACCTTTCATAGCAGAGCAAAGATAAATCTCTCAGTTCCCTTTCTCTTCAAATACTGCAAAATACATTTGCTTCATCAAAAGAAAAGACGATGCCAAGTGAAAACAGGCAAAAGAAGTCATATCTACCCAACTAACGGGGACTGCACTAAGTCAAAGCTGCTACTGTGTGAGGTAATGTTTTCTCTCTTCAGCCTTCGTTTGGCAATCTAGGCAGACTAGATGAAACGATCGCTGGACTTTCCTGTTAACCTTCTGTTTTTTCACTGGGAATGCTCAGCTTGTCTAATGTAACAGTTGTCTTGGCTTCTTGCCTTTTTCTGTCTTCTGGCAGTTGACCCTATGACTGGACCTAACCGTAAGTAAATTTAGCCCACAAACTCACTCATTTCAGTTCTTTTTGTCAAATACTGAATAGAGCAACACGCTCTCGACCGTTCAGTAAGTGCTGGCCAAACATCAGTTTCGCCAGAGCGACGTGTATTGTTTATTTCATTCACTGTGTTCTTCTAATTCAACAGTTCATGCCGTGATACCTGGGGGCACTTCATTTTTTCCTGCAAATTATTGACACATACTTGGCATTTTAGGTAAAAATATCTCTCATTTTCTGCCTCCTACATTCATCATCAGACTCGGCAGATATCGAAACTGTTCAGTCCTTTCTCCATTACAAATTTAAAGTAGCTTGTCTGACATTCTGTGATTAACTAGGAGAGTGAACCACAGACATCTGACTCCATGATGGCTAAGATGAATAGTTATGATTTATCTCTACTATTGCTCTCGATTTCTATAACAGAGGGTGGCTTAACTGAATAGTCATGAATCATGATTTCATTCGACTATCTCTATTTTAAGTTATTGACAGCTTGTTGTGGTGATAACACTGCATGAGCCTTTCAGTAGACGCGAAATAACTCTAATGTGTGCGTTCCCATTCGTGCTGCTTGACATTAGAGAAACAGAAGGAGAAGCTCTTACATTTGGTGCTGCCTGCGACTGACATTCTGGTTCTTAGGCTGTCTTTTCATCGGTGAATAATTGGTGGACAGGTGACGAATAAAACACAGCTGCAATTACATCGGAAAGAAAATTTCAGCAAACTTGATGTTCTCACAAAGAATTCACTAACAACAAACTGGTAGGATTTCATCGAAAATATTTTCTCTGACCTGATCACCGTCGTTAATTCTGAAACTTCTCAAGTACGCCCTGTCATTGAGTAGTTTCTCACCATCGAAAGACAAGCAAAAGTGCCCCCACACATGTGACCTGACGAAACACGGGATAGACAATCGAATAATCATCAATTTCGCGCAATAAATAGAATCATCGCACGTCCTATGGAATGTCACAACGTCGAACTCACTTAAAGAACAAGGGTGCGTGTTATGATACCATGAAATCTTGCCTAGGCCATCCTTAGGGGATGAACTGAAAACATCTTCTAGCGCCTGTTTGAGTGCTGCAACCGTGGCATTTCTCTCGACATGAACATCTGCACAATCGAAATCTCGTCTAAATCAAACGGAAGAAAAGCCAATTGTAAATGGAACACTGTCCAAAGGATTACAGACTCGCAATGCATGATTCAGAATCGAAATCGGATGCCGACAAATCTCAACGCACGACAGCCGACAAACACAACATCCACCGATGCAGAAGCAATAAAATATTCTAGACCAATCGCGTGCTTTGTCTGACTAAACAACGGCTCGATCAATCCCAGTAAGGAATTCCCGTTCAGGGCCCCAAGCCGGTTCCAAAACACAAAAAAAAGAAAAGACTCGTCAACCAAAATGCAAGAAAAAGTGAACCTTTTTCGACCCCGGAGAATGAAATTTCATGAACCACTAAACATTGGGAAGCTGCCGACGAATCATGCCGCTTTACCGTCTTTAAAGCAAGGCACGAAGAAGAGGGGGCTCACCGAAGACGGAGCCATCGAGCTTGAGAATGGAGAGCTTGAGCAAGTGCCGAGGCAACCTGTAATACGAATAGCTGCGCACGCACCCCACCCGGGCCACCACTTCCCTTCCTCCTTCTCCTCCTTCGTCGTCGCCGTCGTCATCATCGCAGAACTCCTCGTCGATCGTCCAGGGACCCAGACAGCTCAAGGAACTACCAGTCTCCCCAAAGTCGACGCCTCTTCGCATAATAAACAACGCCTCCCACGAGCAATGCGCTTCCGCGAACAGAGAAGAAACCTGAGAAAAGGGCAGGCGGCAGATCTTCCGTTCGGAACTGGGTGTCTGAGATCAGGGCTAGATTCGAAGAATCCGAATGTTCTTTTGGTCGGAAAAGCGAAGAGAATAAGGAGAGAATCGGGGACGCTTTTGTTCTTTTGCTGTGGGGGGGGGGGGGAGGAGCGAAATGGGGGGCGCGGCTTGGAAAGCGGGGCCGACCGTTGCATTTGACTTGTCTTCCTCCGTCGGGCGCAGTCCCAGTCGCCAGGGTTGGTACTCGCGGCGGGGGCGCGACACGTGGCGGGGCGAGGACGGCGGAGGAGCGGTTCTGTCTGTCTGTCTGTCTGTCTGGTCTGGGGTTGACCCGGACGGTCCGGTCGCGATTCGAGGTCCAGCGGAGCCTAACGGCTCGATCGGCCTGGTGTGGTGGGCTGGGTTGTCAGTTTTGACTGACGAGGAATATTTCTAGCATTTACGGTTTTTCGGTTAAATATCAGAAAACGTTTGAACTTTCCAAAGAATTAAAACGAACTCTCGTTTGGTTTTCCAAAATTGGAAATTATTTTATTCATTTTGGTTTTCAGAGTTTGCTGACGAGGGTATGCGTCGAGACGTGTTTCTTCATGGAGTGAGATGTCGTTCGGATCCTTTATTAGGTTAATGTTGCTCGAGCTCGTCTCTCGTGATTGACCATCGGCTCTGAGAAAGAAAGAGAAAAGAAAAGGAGAAAAAAACTCGAATTAAAAATATAACTTTCTTTTTTAAATATTTTATAAGAACAAACATTTCATTAATTAAGAACTCGAGCCCGACGCCGATGACCCAAACATAGCCTTTGCGGATCAAAGCTTGAGCGTCAGGGACCCAAGCATGGCCTTTATGGGTCAGGGCTCAGGTGTTGGGGTATCAAGCACGAGCACCAAGGGTTTAGGCCCAACCTTGGCCTTGGCCTTGGCCTCGATTGACTAGGGGCCGGCCACCAAAGTTGACATGGCCGTCTAATCATGTTAGAGTATGATGCGAAACTGGTTTTTTCAATGGTGGCTTGTCGTGCAAAGGCAAAATTCTCAAATGTGACTTGTCAAAGTAAGCAAAAGTTCGGGTCATTTTCTACCGCTGTCTTGTTCGTGAAGGCAAATTTACATTTTCCCATGTTATACTTTGGCATGGCCTAGCGGCCACCTTAGCTCGAACTGATTGGAAAATGAAGGCAAAGTTCAACGACCTAATTAAATATACTGAAAGCGCGACGACTCACTCGGTGAAAGTGGGGCAATTTGATGAAAAGAAGTAAAGCTTTTCCTTGTCCGATATGGAAAAAGTGGTGGTGGCGACTCGAAACCGTTGAGCAACTTTAGCCTCTCCGGCACCCCATTTGCATTTAATTCGGCCGACAATTCTTGGCCGTGCTTGGTAAGAACTACGTGATCCCCCATTTATCTAGGAGCAATTAGTAATTAAGCAGAGTTGATGGGCCGTCGCCAAGCAAAACCCCGGAACAGAAGATCCGGCCCACGACCCGTTTGGATCCTAAGGCGGTCCACACCCGCAACCGCCTCCGTCTTTCGGAGTCGGACCCGAGATAAGCAACTCGGGCTCCCCCTTGCACCGAAGATTTCGCAGATCCCACTTCTCTCATTTTCTCTGTAAAGAGAGAGAGAGAGAGAGAGAGAGAGAGCGCGCGCACAACGCAAACGCTAGAACAGTCTCCAGAGCAGAGTGTGCAGAGAGTATTGGCCTCGAGCTCTCTCGAGCCGCCGCCGTTCATCCCCTCTCGATCTTCTCCCTCTTCGCCCTGCTCGCATACAGCTCCGTGTGCCGAGAGCCGCGGGGCTCGACCGAACTGCCCGGGTTGGGGGGGGGGTTTTTTCTAGGGTTTTGGAGCCATGTGGAACAGCGCCGGCAACGGCCAGATTGCGCCGCCGGGGACCAGCGGCCCGTCCGCGATCCCGCCGCCGCCCGCGCCGCAGCCCTCGTACACCGTCCTGCCCTCGCCCGCCGAGGCCGAGGCCAGGCTCGAGGAGAAGGCCCGGAAATGGATGCAGCTCAACTCGAAGCGGTACGGGGACAAGAGGAAGTTCGGGTTCGTGGAGACGCAGAAGGAGGACATGCCTCCCGAGCACGTCCGGAAGATCATTCGGTGAGTTCTCTTCCGGATGTTTTGCTCGGATAATACCTTTTGTTGTTATAAGCCATGTGTTCCATTGATGATTTTCTCTCGAAAGTTGGTAATACTCTGGTGTTGATGGTGCTTAAATAGGTTGTTTCTTTGGTTGGGTATGTAATTTTGGGGGGTTTCTTGATGTTTTCTGAGTTGCAGGGGTTGTATTTTTTTGTACGTTTGCATAAGGGTTAGGGCAATGGCTCGCCTCTCTGTCCCTCTCTGCCGCTTTCATCTCATTATTTGCAATATGGATAATTGTATTTCCCGAAGCTTGCTTGTGAATTGTGTCATTTCTAAGACGGCCTTCGAGTTTGATATGCTGGGTCTGTTTGGGGCTTTCACTAGAAGACCATACTATGGAAAGGCTTCATAGTACTACTATCTGGGTTTTGAACGTTAGGTTTTCACTTGCTGGTTTTATCTTATAGTGATAAAGCCATTGGCACGATGCGTGTTCCGGTTAGAGTCACGCTACATTTAAGAATATCTTTTGGAAGCTCTTCTCATGTCGAATCAAGATATTGGCTTAAAATTGGGCTCTAGCTTTTGTTTCCCCAGGTAATCTTATTGAAAAATATATTGCTAAGAAGCTTTCTGCAATTGTGGCAGGGACCATGGGGACATGTCCTCTAAAAAATATCGCCATGACAAACGTGTATACCTTGGAGCTTTGAAGTTCGTCCCCCATGCAGTTTATAAGCTCCTTGAGAACATGCCCATGCCATGGGAGCAGGTAGTTATTTTTCCTCACTGCCTAAAAATAATTCATCGAAGTTTGAGTCTCCATGGTTCCTAGGTAGATTTAAATTTCACTGTTCGTGTTGCTGCAGGTTCGCGATGTGAAGGTTTTATACCATATTACCGGGGCAATAACATTTGTCAATGAAATACCTTGGGTTGTTGAGCCCATCTATCTAGCTCAGGTATGTTTTCATTTTATTACGTTCTTCTATTATTTTCCAGGTTCTTCTTTTGTATTAATTTGTAGAGTTTTCAACTGTTTGTTTATCTTGTGTCTTGTATACGGTACTTTTTCCTGGTGATACTTTACATTTGAGGGAACATGGCCACTTTTTCTGTTTTGGTTTAAATATTTACTTTTTATTGTTTAAAATCCCAGGCATGTAATTTTCTTACGCATATTTTGAACTAATTTTTCAGTGGGGTACAATGTGGATCATGATGCGAAGGGAAAAAAGGGATAGAAGGCATTTCAAGAGAATGCGGTTTCCACCTTTTGACGATGAGGAACCTCCTTTGGATTATGCTGATAATCTGTTGGATGTCGATCCTCTGGAGCCGATTCAGTTGGAGTTAGATGAAGAAGAAGATTCGGCTGTATGTACTTGGTTTTATGACCATAAGCCTCTTGTGAAAACAAAGCTTATAAATGGTCCGAGTTACCGGAAGTGGCATCTTTCTCTGCCAATTATGGCCACCCTCCATCGGCTAGCAGGGCAGCTTCTTTCTGATTTGATTGACCGCAACTACTTTTATCTGTTTGATATGGAATCCTTTTTCACTGCTAAAGCACTGAACATGTGCATACCAGGTATGCTTCTCGCGCTGAGCTTGAGGATTTCTGTCTTTTCAACTTTTTATTTCTCTGCGGAACAGTGTTCTCTTTTAGTGCTATGGACAGTTAGGTAGAAATTAATTATGGATCCTATGTCTCTGTTTCTTTAAGATTCAACACTATTGGCGGTACCTTTTGGAAGTTGGAGGTAGCATAGAGTTGAAACGTGGTGTTTGAACTTGTAGTTGCTTAAGTCATACTTGGATCGTTGTGGTCAAAGTTCATGCAAAGATGCCATGATACGTATTTAGATAAATATTATCAATAAGAGATGCTCTATGGAGCTCATTGAGGATGTCTCTGGGGAGGTGCATTTTCATTGTGTGAGAGATTAAGTTGCTTTCTTGCTGTGTATGAAACCGACTCTTGCATAGCTCATTGTGTGATTGAAGCTTGGCAATCAGAATTTTACTGCTTTTATTTTTAAGGTTTCTTTCACTATGGCTTTGATCTCTACTATGAAATTTGACGACTAATAGAAGTAGTGAGAATATCAGCCATGCCTGAATAAATGTTCGTTCAATGTCTCAAGTTGTAGCCATTTTTTGCTCTTCGATGCTTTATTTTCTGCTATGCAATGCAATACTCCCTCGAGTAATGACATGATACGTTACATGTTAATATTTAAGTTATAGTTTAAGTTTTGACGGTCTTCATCTTGCAGGAGGTCCTAAGTTTGAGCCACTGTACCGGGATATGGAAAAGGGAGATGAGGATTGGAATGAGTTCAATGACATTAACAAACTCATTATTCGATCTCCTCTTAGGACAGAATACAGGATTGCATTTCCACATCTTTACAACAATAGGCCTCGGAAAGTAAAGCTTTGTATATACCATACTCCCATGGTCATGTATATAAAGACTGAGGATCCCGATTTACCAGCCTTCTATTATGATCCTTTGATTCATCCTATTACTAGCATAAACAAGGAGCGGCGCGAGAAAAAGGCATATGATGATGAGGATGAGGATGATTTCTCCTTGCCCGAAGGCGTTGAACCTCTGCTGAATGAAACCCAGCTTTATACCGACACCACAGCTGCAGGAATCTCGTTGTTATTTGCCCCCCGCCCTTTCAACACAAGATCCGGGCGCATGCGGCGGGCTGAAGATATACCCCTTGTGTCAGAGTGGTACAAGGAGCACTGGTAATGTCTTCATTGTTTTGGAGAATTCTTTTGATGTTTGATTTCCTTACATCTAGCATAGGAATCTAAATCTGTGTGATTTTTATTTTTCTTATGCACAGTCCTCCAACATATCCCGTAAAAGTTCGAGTAAGCTATCAAAAACTGTTGAAATGTTTCGTCTTGAATGAGCTACATCATCGACCTCCTAAGGCTCAGAAGAAGAAGC